CACTATGTTATGCAGAATGAAGATCGCCGAATTGAAGAAAAGACAAATCGGTGATATTGGGTTCATTAACACATATCTCATAGATGCAACTGAGGTTCAACATCGTCCCGGAGATACCGAGGCCAACTTGCTACGATCATTCAAAAAAATGAAAACAAAGATATAATACTCTTTCCTTACAACTTCAAGTGAGTGTTACTGTCTTGTGCATATTCGGTTTCCCTTATATATTAGTCCAGGTTATAGTAATGTAATTGATGAGTTATGCATGCGTGTGCAGTTTCCACTATATTCTCCTAGAGATTAGGCTTGAGCACGGAGTAGTAACTGTCTTGGACTCTAAACGAAAAGATCCCCAGGAGTATGCGGACATGACTGAAATCCTCAAGAAGTAAGTTAAATCGATCATTATCCACCATATCAGCAACTTTGTTCATTTCCTAATATCAAGTAATTTTTTTCTTTGTCCGGCAGGGTTTGGAGAAAATTCACCAGAACAGTTCCGGGACTGCCGAAGGAGCTGGAATTTAGACACCCGAAAGTAAGTACTATAGTAGCAATGTTCCGCGCATCTCCTAGTGATTCAAGCGCCAGTTTCATCAATACCATTTAGCATTCTTGCTTATCAGTTTGATTGACCTCTATTTCTTGTAAAGTGGTTGTGGCAGGAAAAAGGGAATGATTTCTGTGGATACTACGTCTGTGAGTCCATCCGCCACACGACCTGTGAGCGGGGCGGGTACTCTGACAAACAATATAAAGTACGTAAATAACAACATTCACAATTTTATTTTATTACCATCATTTGTATTGAGTTTCATTCATTCATATATATATATATATATGTATTGACCCCCTTCTTCAAATTAGATGTTTCGGAAGCGGGATGAACTCCTAGCACCAGCTCGCATGCGAGCAATTCAAGAGGAATTAGCGGCATTCTTTCTTGACCAAGTGATCGCTGAAGACGGAGAATACTATGTGGACCATGAGTCCGTATGATTATATTTGTAAAAGATAATTATTGTATATATGTAGCCGGTAGTGTCGGATAGATATACAAGAACTTGTTGTTCGACCAATCTCTCGAAGAAGGAGAGGTGGTCGATATCACTTCTCTCTGTATGCATATATGTTCATGACGATCTTCTGTTTCCTTCGTTTGCTTACTAGCTAACTAGTGTGTCTAGTCCTCTCTATACGTATGTATAGTACGTAGCGTCGACCAAGCACGGACGTAAGAGAGGACACTTCTCTCTATTAATTATAGCTAGCAAACACAATATATGAAACACCTAAATTAACCCCCCAAAACCCCCAAACCCCCCACCCTTTCAAAAAAAACCCAGCCACAGAAATGCTGACGCGTGGATGCCTATTGGTCCCGGTTGGTGCCACCAACCGGGACCAAAGGGTCTCCTGCCTGGGCTCTGCGCACTGCCCACGTGGAGGCCCATCAGTCCCGGTTCTGGATTGAACCGGGACTAAAGGTACAGGGCATTAGTACCGACACTTTAGTCCTGGTTCAGGAACCGGGACTAAAGGCCCTTACGAACCGGGACTATAGGCCCTTTTTCTACCAGTGACATTACCACATTCACACTTCACCATGTATATTTCAGCATTTCCGCATATATACACAACATTTCAGCATGTATACTTCACCATTTCAACATATATTAACGATATTTTAGCATTTTAGCACATATATATACATATCAAAATTTGTTGTGCGGTGGAATAACAAAAATGGTATTAATTTTCAAAAGTGGTTAGCAATAAGTATAAACTAGATGGCACTAAACAATGTCGAATTACATTCATGGATGAGTAGCCTGTAAGTGAACTTTTTAGAAAAAGATTCTTCTTTTCTCCAATTACAAGACAAACAAGAGGGACATAATTTTCTCTAATTTTATTTTATTGAAGTTACTTCTGCGGCCCCTACTTTGAATTCAAAATGATCAAATGAACAAGACTACATAATAAGATCAACAAAATCAAAGACTAAACCACAAGTTCACAAAACAAGATAAGGGAGGGGATTTTGGGTCAAGGCTAGCAGCTGCATTAGGCTAGGGTAAAGTGGCTAGGGTTGTTTTTCTTTAGTGAATGACACATCGGACCTACCTATTAGAAGGAATTAATATGCGGGTATGCGGATATGGGTATTGCCTTCCCGTACCCGTAATCGGCTTACCTGATGGGATTTTTTCCCATTTTTAAATCTATGGGTATTTATTTTTCACACACCCTTACCCTAATAGAGTTTTTACCACTGGGTTCGCGGTTTGCGGGAACCATTGCCATGTTGAACGCTTGATGCCTTGCTCCTGGATATCGAAGAGCAACTAGTTGACGAGCGCTCTTCGGGAGCCTCCCAATGATCACTTGGGGTGGGCTAAGAGTGCGCCACAGCCGTCGCCATGTGTCGCACTCTGGACGCTCGCTCTGGATTTGTTTTTTTTCATGCATTTTTGGCTTTTTAAACTGATTTTTTTGTTTTTTTCAACTTTTTTGTTTTCCGTTGGTCTTCCTTAGCTTTTGGACCAATTTTTTCCTTTATGTGAAAAATGTGTTTTTATATTTTTTTTTCTTCCGCGAGAGTCACGATTTTGTTTTCGCGAGAGGCACGGTTTTGCTTCACGAGACGCAAGGCGGTGCCTCTTTTGGAAAGGAAAAAAAATGTTTTCTGTTTTTTTTCTTCATGAGAAGCACGGGTTTGCTTCCACAGAGGAACGGTTGTGCTTTCGCGAGAGGCACAGCCGTGCCTCTCGGAAATGTAAAATATGCATTCTTTGTTTTTTTTCGGCATGTGCTTTCGCGAGAGACACGGCCATACCTCTTTTGGAAAGGAAAAAAATATGCTCCCGATTTGGTTTTTCTATTCAGTTTTTTTTCAAATACACGTTGAACATTTTTTAATAGGCGTGAATATTTTTATGAATACTCGTAATTTTTTAATACACATTGATACAAGTTAAATATTTTTTTATTGCATGTTGAACATTTTCCTAATATATGTCTTATATTTAAAAAATAGACGAAACTATTATTTAATAGATGATGAACATGTTTTAATACATGTTCCTTGTGCATGAAAATAATGTTTCTTGTGTATTAAAACTTGTTCATGCTGTATTTTCTTATCAATAAAAGGGTCATCGCGTACTAAAAAGAAAAGATGTTCATCACATATTTAGAAGCTATTCTTCACATGTTAAAAAATGTTATTTGTTGTATTTTTCGAAAAGCTTCATCATGTATTTCGAAAAGCTTCATCATGTATTAAGACATGTTTATAGTATTTTATAAAAAAACTTATTCCTGTATATTTAAAAACTGAAAGCATATTAAAAAAATGTATGCATCGTTTTTCAAAAGAAAGAAAAAATTAAGAGGGGAAAAGTAATGCTAAAATGAATAAGAAACAAGAAAAGCAGGAAAGCAACAAAAAGAATTAGAAAAGGGAAAAGGAAATGCCAGAGACGGTGAGAAAAAGGCGTACGGAAAACCAGACTGTAGGACTAAATAAAAAAAAGAAAAGCCGGTGAACCTTGCTCTGTATAGTAGTTTCGTTGCTGGGCTGGCTCGATATAGGTTCATAGTAAGCGACCCGAGCTTCTAGCTCGCCCTAAGCAAGGTATAGACTCTCCCTGTTTTGGATTGCTGCTACTTGAGTTCTCCTTCTCAGTGGCTCTTCCACTGTACTTGATGTGTCTTCAGAATTCAGTGTCATGATAAACCAGAAAGTACCACTCAAAAAAAAAACCTGACAGTGCAGAATCTGGTCATTGTATTGCCGTATGCCTATTTGGTTCTAATCATCCGATAGCATATGATTCTCAGCTTCTGAATAACAAGGCGTGATTCACTGTTTTAATGCCTGCAATTTGAAGCAAGTCCCTAAGTTCTCCCTTGTACAGGTAGTAACTTGGCATGTGCTGGTGTATTGCAAACATTCCAGTTCCAGTCTAATGCTGTCCTTAAGTTCAGTTTGGATCATTATCTGTAACCCCAGCACCTCATTTCCCTTCAAAAAATCCATCAATACCATCACCATTATGGCTATTTTTTTTTTTTGAAAAGAGGGGACATCCCTCGGCCTCTGCATCGAGTGATGCACATAGCCTTTTATTTATCATATCAAAGTTCATCATCCGACCATAACAAAGTTCAACTAAAAAAGTGTCGCACATGACTGTCCGAAGGGTAAATAAAATAGTAAACATATTTTGCTTTAATCAGTTCACCGTTCTGTGCATGCTAATGCCAAGTGCCAACCAATTTTGTTTAACACTAAAATTTTCTAGTTAATACTGTGCAGAACTTCAGAAGCTCAGATGATACATTACCAACTCTCTGTTTTAGCGACGGATGTGAAAACCCTGTCGCAATCTAAACCAAGCAGATTTGTATGGACGGATCTGACCTACTAATTTCTTTTATACATCTTCATGAACATCTAACCCATACACTGTATAAAGGGGTTTGCAATAAATATATCCAGTGCCTGTGAATGGCACGAAAGTTCTCCGGTCTTTGTTTCTTTTCTTGGTAGATGAGATCAATTCAGTTAGTTTACAGAGGAGGTTATATATCTACCTGCCAGGTAAACTTGAAATTGCACAACTCTAGTCACTGTACACGCTTATTGATGATTATGATTATCAGATATGATGAACATGGAAGTCTGACCTCTGAACTAGTACTGAATAATGCCTGCAACTGCAGCAAGTCCCAAAATGTCCTAATGCTTTCCTTAAGTTCAGTTGGATCATTATCTGTCACTTCAGCATCTCAATTCCCTTCAGATAAATATAAATAATCAATGTCATCGTCATGGTGGTTGCTGAATTGCAGGAGTAGAAATATTTGTCTTAATCCGTTCAACAGTTTCCTAATTGCTGTGCATGCTAGTGCCAACCAATTTGGTTTAACATTAACCTCCTTATCCAAAGAAAAAAAAAGATCTAGTTTTTCATCAGGATGAGAGAGTATCAGAAATTGAAGTCCATTGCAACTGCTCCCAAGAGGTCGAAGCCATCGAAGTCACAGAAGTCAATGCCGACTGGGGAGGAGAGCTTTGCTCTGACGTCGTCAATGCCCACTTTGGCGCCGGAGCAGTTGAGACCGTCGAGCATTTGACCGGAGAAGCTCTGTTCCATCAGGTTCACTGCTTCCTCGCCACCGGTCGGGAGCAACCCACCGGAGCCGGGCACAAGGACACTGTTAATGGCAGTGGCAGTGGCAGTGGCGGCGGTGCAGTGGCCGGTGGCTTCGTCGTCGCTGGGCGGCAGAGCGGGCGTGTGGCCGCCGTCGAAGATGGCAACGTGGGCGAAGAGCTTGTCCTTCCTGGAGAAGGAGACGCCGCAGGAGCAGACCCAGCGGTCGCGGCCGCAGTGCTTCTCGTGGGTGCGGAGGTCGGCGAGCACGGAGAAGCGCTTGACGCCGCAGCGGCAGCAGACGTGGCTCTTGTCGCAGTGGCTCCGGCGGTAGTGGTTCTTGACGCAGACGGGGGTCTTGAGCGGCTGGAAGTCCCGGTGCTCCCTGTTGCGCTTGCACCCGGCGTAGGGGCACGAGTAGAAGAAGCGCCTCTCCGTCCCCGCCCCCGGCGCCGGCGAGCCGGGCCTGGCGAGCGCGCCGGGCGCCTTGTACTGGTCGCCGTGGCCTCGCATGTGCATGCGCAGGTTGGCGTCGCGCTTGAACCCCTTGCCGCACACCTTGCAGCAGTGCGCGTGCGGCGCCAGGATCGCCTCCTTCTCGATCTGCACCACCTCGTACGGCCCCTCCCCCTCCTCCTCCCCGCCGTCGTCAGCCCCGGCGTGGTCGTCGGAGTCGTCGTGCGTGGCGTCCGAGAGCGACGGCGACCTCTCCTCGCTGGGCTCGTACGGGGCCACGTCCGCCGCCCCGGCGCCGGAGTCGGATGCGAGGTCGTTGGCGATGGAGGAGAGCTGCACGATGATGCAGCGGAGCTCGGCGGAGACGATGGCGCGCTGCTGCTGCGGGTGGCGCGGCGCGGAGCAGAGGATCCCGCGGAGCTGCCCGACCTTGTGCTCCAGGAAGGTCAGGTACGTCGTCAGCGCCGCGCTCGGGTCCGACCGGTGCTCCTCCGCCTCCTGGCCATGCCGGCTCTGCTCGTGCCGGATCCTCTCGAGATCGCAGGCCTCCACGACCCCAGTCCCCGGTAACCTCTGGTGATTGTGCTGAAGGTACAAGTGATTATTACTGGCGAAATGATCGGAGCTGCACATCATGGGGACGTGGACTCTGTTTCGCTGCTTTTGCCGGCGGTGAACTGATGTGGAGTAGTAGTTCGTGTGTCTGGCCTGAGCTTAGCTAAGTGGAGCTGGTTATATATGTGCGTGGAGATGGATGGAGCTTGCGTGGGCTCGTGCGTGGGTGGGCTCCATGGCGGCGCCGCGGCGCAGGTGGAAGGAAGGCGGGAGGCGACAGCGAAGGGTGGGGAAGACGACGGAGCAGGGCCGGGCATATGCATGTGTGATGTGTCAATGCGCACGGGCTGACCGGCGCTCCTGGCCCTTGGGCCACTGCCTTGCGCCACGAAAGCGACGCCATCTTGCCCCTTTACAACCACAGAAAGTTCGGGAGCGCAAAGCGTCGAAGCTTGACTTGCGGAGCGATGGACTGCCTCGGGAGTCGATGATCAGCTCGGTAGGTGTCCAGGATTTCTTCTTTTAGAAACAAAAGTGTCCATAATTGTCATAACATATGTGAACTAAACTCCGATGAATCTGGTAACTTTAGGAACAAAATTGGCCGGCAACTTTGCAACTTTCTACCATATATTATACTATCTTAGAGGGTGTTTGTTTCCAGGGACTTATTGGTCTAGGGACTTAAATAAGTCCCTATCAGTCCCATCTAAACCAAACAGGAGGGACTTGGGCATTTGGGACTTATGAAATAAGACTCTTAAGGAGGGACTTATAGGGACTTATAGTTGTAATATGGCCTTATAGAGACTTATAAGTCTCGGGAACCAAACATGTAGGGACTTTTTAGGGATTTGGGACTTATAAGTTGGGACTAAAAAAAGTCCTAGGATTTATGAACCAAACAGGGCCTTAAAATATATTCACTCTGCCTCAAATGGAGCAGTTGCAAACGGTGAGTACATTTTGAGACAAAGAGAGTACATTGCTCTAAGAGCACTAAACAAATCCGCCATCCAACGTCCACGGTCACGTTTGGATGCGTCGCCGTCCTTCAGATGTCCTCCCAGACAACCATATTCTTCGTATCAGGAACCCCATTTTCATGCAAAGTCATGCATGTCCATTATGTATCACTAATTCATCATAGAATCAACAGTTCGATAAAAGCAAAGTAAATCACAATTCAACACATGCTAAAAAATATCAACAATGTATACGTCGATAGCCAATACACGAATGAATATATCGTGTGTTTTCTTGCGCTTGTTGATCTCCTTCCATTTCATCTCGAGTCACTTCTTGCCTTCATCAT